AAAAAAAAAAAAAAAAAAAAAAAGAGTCATTGTTGACGTCAATTTTAATATATAATAATTATAACAAAAAAGTCAACAAGTTGTATATTAAATTTGTAGTTAAATGACTGTATCGATTTATAGCAATTCTTCTCTAAATATTACAGTGATTGGTGCGACATGTCTCTTGCTTTAAATCATGAATTGAAACTAGCTAGGAAATTTCCAAGCCTTTTTGGGCCAGTTATGAGTTTATGGTGCATGAACAGGATTATCGTTGGAGTAGGTCAAAGTTATTAATTGGATGTGGACCAACCAGCGAAGAGACACACTTTGGTAACTTGAGCTTTTCTGCTAGTAGTTTAGTTTAGTTTGGATTCAGAACTCAACTAACATCCACCATTGGAGTTGAGAAACTTTAATGACCCTCCGGTTATGATTACTGTCGATCTCTAAATTAACTATCTTCATGTATGATATTTCCTCCGTTACTATTTTATGTCATTTTTTTTTGTAAATTTTTCTTTTTATTTACTTTTTTACTTTTAATACAATATTAATTGTTGAATTATAAATTGTACTTTTACATCTTACCTAACTTTTAATTAATTTATACATAATAATTAGTATTCATTTATTATAATTAATATTCATTTATTATGAAGAGGAAATGAAAGAAGATGTTATAAGAAGCATCAAAATTATTGTATGAAAAATAAAAGAATTATTACATTTTTTTATTTATATAAAACAATTTTAAACGAGTATTATAAAAAATAAAAATAATACTATAACTTAATAATATATAAGATTATATATGTGTGTAGTTAATTTACAATGTTTTCAATCCAAAGCAGTGGCTTAATTAATTGCATACATGAATCGCTTTAATTTTTTTTAAAAATACTTTGTTATAAAATGTTTAAAAAAATTAATTCAAAAATCATTGCTTCTATATATAATGAACTGTGTATATGATACGATCTATGCGTGACATGTGCATGACATCTTAAATACCAGAAAGTTTAATTGAAAAAATATATATATCATGACATGTGCTCCCCCACAGCGCTCCCTTTGTCCTTTTATTTAAAAATTTAAAAAAAAAAAAAAAAAAAAAAAAAAAAAAACTATTATTTTTATTTTCAAGAACTACAACAAAACTACGTAGATATTACTTAACTGAATCAATAAACTGACTGTTAAAAAAAAGAGTTTTAATAAATGGAAAGAAAGAGGAAAGTAAAAATGTTTTTACAGATAAATTTTATGCATTATTATTCTAAGCCTTTATTATCTTATAATATTGTTATTCATTTTATTATTGAGTCATCGTGTCAAATTTTAGATTTTGAGGCATTGAGTATTTAATTGTATTACTTATTTATATTTAAATATTTTATTCCTTTTAAATGCTTTACTTAATTTTAACTTTAAATTAAAATATATTTCTAGTTGAAATCTGATTTAAATATTAGATTTAAATCTTGACACATTATATGAAATAATAATACATATTTTTATTCTTTTAATAAATTGAAATGATCATCGTAATTTTAACAAATTTAGAATTAAATTTTGACACATTATATAAAAAAGATGATGTATCTTGACTTAAATAATTTATTTCTACAATTTTATTCAATTTAATTTTAAAAGTCTTACATATTTAATTATAATAAAATAAAAACATTAATAATAGTGAAAATATTTATTAATATAAATTAAATTAATGGTGAAAATATTATTAATAGTGAAAGTCTAGTGTTGACAGAAAGCTAGCCTACTAATATAAATTAAATTCACATTTAATAATTTAAGCATATTGTAAATATATCTCTAATGTATAATTACATAATGTTTTTCTTCATTTAAAAGCATAAAATTACTTTAATTAATTCAACTTAAATAGTGGAGATCGTTTGAATTTTAAGTATGCAACTGTATTAAATATTAAATAGTGAAAATCGTTTGAATCTTGAGTATACAATGATATTAAATATTAAGAAGAAAAATATATTATTTATAGTGATTTTATCTAATTAGAATATGATTATCTCAAAAAAAATTAACTTGTTATTTTTTTAAAAAAAATTAATTGCATTTTTTTTGGTGAATGTAATTTTATAGCTAGTTTAACTCAAAAAGAAAGATAATACTTATATAAATAAATTGTAGTGTAACAATTAAAACTAAGAAAAAAATTTTAAATATAAAAAATAAAGTGATAAAAAAAAATAAACACTAAACTATTGTATGCTTATCGTAATGCAATTCAAAAATAAATATCTCCTCTTAGACGTGTCATCACTCTCATTCTCCCTGAAAACCACTGTTCCACTTCCACCTGGTTACGCTTTTCTCTGTCTGCTACGTAGTAACCAGCCAAGCGACAATAGTGCAAATGTATGTTTGTTTTGTTTTGTACATTTGATTAAGGTAATAGTTAATAATAGTACAAAGGATTGTATGTTTCAATGCATTGTTGCATAAATAATAATCACACTGTATAAAAAATCGTCTACATTGCAGAAGGAAATACATATAAAAATTATATTTTTAGTAGAAATATAGAATTTTTTTTTTTAAAAAAAAGTCTTCCTAACATCAAATAATTATAATTTTTTTGTGTGTAGAAGTTAGTATTTATAATAATTTGATGAAGAAATGAAAAAATACTTCAATTTTTCATTTTTAGTTGTCATTTTTTTTTGAAGTTTTATAATATCAAATTGTTGTTTTCAAAGTTTAAAATAATATTATTTTTTCTTGTCTATTATATCTTATTTTCTACCTAAATTTTAATTACTTTACAATGTAAATAAAAAAATACACATTTACAACTTGTATATATTTATTGTGGAGTAAAAATAAAAAATAGTTGATAAAAAAATTCAAAACTTGCAAAACAAAAAGATTTATTACATTTTTTTAGCTTATGTAAAATAACTTTAAACAACTATTAAAAATAATTAACTCCAATCTAGTAAAAAAAATTGTACGCTATATATCTACCCTATTAAGATTTGAATGTGAATGTTTTTAATATGTTCCGTATAAGTTATTCTTACGAGTTATATCGGAGAATTTATAAAAATAAGTTTAAACATATATTATGGATCGACTGATCATAATTTTTTTAAAAATTATCTCAAATACTGTCACAAACATTTATAAAATTCAATATAAATTTTGATAAATTATTTACAAGTTTTTCTTTGGAATCTATCTATCTATTTCTTTCTCTATATATATATATAAAGCCGTGTAATGCATATCGTATGTATAGAACTGTGATTCAAAAGCTAACCCGTCACACACAAATATTTTAGGATCAATCTTGATTAATTTGACACCGAATTGAAATTTTCCTAACCTAGCTCAGGCTTTAATGAGCCATTTTTTTTTTAAATATAAAAGTTTAAAATAATCTAAATAAATTATTTTTTATACAATAGGTTAATGAATATTTTAAATTATTACAGACTAAAATGAAATATATAGATTGTTATTTATATTATAAAATATATAAATAAAGAAAATATCAACAGTAAAATAGACATTAACAATACATATAGTATTAAATTTATTAATTATAAAAATGAAATAATAATAAACAATTAATCTGGCCTAGAAATTAGCTCGCTCGGGACCAACAATATATAATATTTTAGGCCGAACCGACTAAAATAATAATCTTCGGTCTAAACTTTCAACATCCATCCCAATATATAGCATCCAACTAATTGACTCAACACGTACTCATTTTAACATCCTATTAATATTGAGAGATTATTATTGTTGTAATAAAAGAGTATATGTGATTATTATAGGAATGTGAAAGATGGGAAGGTATTTTCTTAATTATCACGTAATAATTAATTATTTGAAAATCATCATTAATTAATGATCATGTAATAATGAGAAGTGATTTACAACCACTACTAACTAGACTCCAATTAAGTTGATGGACTTTGTTGAATTGGTTTCTACGCAAGCCGAATTTGAATTTTTAAGTTGCCCGAAGGAACACTGCGAACAGCAGTTAATTAAAACCTTAAAAGTCTTTGCTAATTCAGAAGTCATGAATATAAGCATTTATTTTATGATCTAGAGATATATCGTGTCACTTTATTAAGACTGATTGATTACCCTTTGTAGCGTGCGTGTATTCTAACAACTCTTTATATAAATATTATATTATACGTATGTGATCAAATTGAAGTTGAAAATGACTCACTTTAAAAAATGAACAATAAAATTAGTAATGATTGATAAAATGTTTTTTTTATTATTAAATTTCATCGTTGATTCGTTGTTTCTTTATTGATGGAATGAATTTATACAAAATCATGTGCATGTGTGATGTGATCCAATGAATTAATAAGCGTTTGAATGAGATAAGCAACAATTTGGTAGATGCGAATAGAAATTGCATGGATAAATATGTTACGTATGA